GGGAAGGGGGGCAGCCTGTTCTCAGTGCTAATCTTAGCCCTTGAGAGCATTTGCTTGTGACTTGAGCCCCTCCCTCCCTCTCCCTCCCTCCTCACCCCTCTGTTTCTCTCTTCAGCACTCCCTCCCGAGGCTTTGCCTCTACTCTAGCTCTAGGACCTCAGGACTGAGGAGCCTCTGCCTGCCCGCTGCTCTGCCCTTGGGCCTTCTCTGTCTTCTGCCCTGATTGCCCAGGGAGAGCTCCCCTCAGTACCTCCCCTTCCTCCAGACTGCACAGGGAGGCTGGCCCTGGGACCCCAGTGTCCAAAGCTCATCCCTGATGCTCCGAAGCCCTTGGGCTTTCCATGTCCTCAGTGGTCCTGGCTACCTCTTGGCTCTCAGACCCTGCTTGGGACCAGGGTCACCTCCTGAGGACTCCAGCCCCACTAAAATGCAGCTTTTTGATCTCTGGTTCGTTACTCTGTGCACTTCCTGTCAGCCCAGTCTTGCTCCAGCGAGCTGCCATAAGTGCCATTTGCCTCCTGTTCCCTGTGACTCAGAGCCTCCCATCCAGCCTCAGGCTCCTCCCCACCACCACTTCCCATCTTCTCTACTGGACCATTGTGATTCCTGGAAGTGCCCAGGCTCAGGTTTTGGTTTTCATAAACTTTTTTTTGTTGTTGTTGTTGTTTTCTAAGAGCAGTTTTCAGGTTCACAGCAAAATCAAGTGACGACCAAGAGTTTCCATCACCAAACACAGCCTACGTCACGTGGTACTCTAATGGTGTGCGTATTACACGCTTGCTCAGAAGCCTGAGGTGGCCTGGGGTAGACTGTGGACGACAGGTGGCAGTGGCAGGTCAACACAGGAATGTCCCATACAACCGTGAGCCTGGCGATGAGAGCAGGGTTTATTTTTTAATTCTTCGACAATTTCTTGCATGTATTTGATGCATTTTGGTCACTTTTGCTTGCTTCCCACTGATCTCCTGTTCCTGATGAGTTCCCAGCCACCTTCATGTACTTCCTTAGGTTGCCCAATAAACACGGGTAGGGGGTTGGTTTTTTGGCATGTGGACAACTGACCATTAGCTACCCAGATGAAGAAATGGCACCTCCTCCCCAGCAACCATAAACCGCTGATACAGCTCTTTAGGGATGGGTGGGGCCTTGTCAGCCCCTCCCTCACGCATGATGGAGTAGTGACAGGCCCCAGCTTATGCATGTTTTATCCACAGCTGCTGTGATGAGTGCAATGGCCACATGGTGTCCAAAAGACAGCGTCTCACAGCCCTCGGGTCCTCCCTCCAGCTCTTATGCTCTGTCCTCTCAGTCTTCGGCAATGTGTCTGAGCCTTGGAATGGCTGATACAGAGCTCATCTGGGACTCAGCACTTTGATCAGTCATGAGTCCCTTTATTAACTCTTGCCCAAGCAATGAGAGATTTTGTTGCTCTCAGTCTCTGCCAGCACTTGATGACGTCCACGTTTGGATTTTGGCCCTTCTGTCTGGTCTGTGTTACTGGTATTACCGTCTTATTGTTTTAATTTGTGATTCCCCAGTGATGTATGATGAAGAACACTGTCACTATTTGCCGTCTGTATGTATTCACTGAGAAATCCCCTTGGGTCTTTTCCCCATTTTTAAGTTAGGTTGTTTCCTTATGTTGTGTTTAAGAGTTCTTTGAATGTATTGGTGATCATCTCTTATTTAACTGTGTCTTTTATGTATATTTCTGTGGCCTGTTTTATTGACATTTTCTTGTTTTTTATTTTGTTTTTCAAAATAGGGTTTCTCACCGGGCATTGGTGGCACATGCCTTTAATCCCATCATTCAGGAGGCAGAGGCAGGTGGATCTCTGAGTTCGAGGCCAGCCTGGTCTACAGAGCAAGTTCCAGGACAGCCTCCAAAACAATACAGAGAAACCCTGTCTCTGAAAACCCAAAAATAAATAATAAAAATAGGGTTTCTCTGTATAGCAGCTCTGGCTGTCCTGAAACTCGATTTGTAGACCAGGCTGGCCTGGAACTCACAGACATCCCCCTGCCTCTGCCTCCCAAGCTCTGAGATTAAAGATCTATACCATTACTGCCCGGTGACATTGTCTTTTTAAAGCAGAAGTTTACCATCTTTCTGTGTGTGGTTTTCCTGAAACAGTCCCACTGAACCTCAGGCTAACTTCAATGAAGTCCAGGCTAGCCTCAACTCTCAATCCGCCTGTCTCACCTTTCTGAGCACTGGAATTACAAGTCTGAGCCACCACATCTAACTGATAAGTTCAGTATTTCAGTCAAGCCAGCTCCTGGATTGTGCCTTTAATATTGGATACCAAAGTCTCCTCTGGGGCTGGAGATACAGCTCCATGTTCTTTCAGAGTTCAGTTCCTGGGACCCACACGGTGACTCACAACCATCCATAGCCCCAGTTCCAGAGGATCTGACCTCCTTTGGTCTCTGTGGGTACCGCACACATGTGGTAACATACATGCAGGCAAAATACCCATACACATAAAAATATTATTAATCATCGCCTCTATACTCAAGGTCACCTAGGTTTTCTTCTAGTTTTTAGTTTTTCACTCTGCATAATCCATTCTGTGGGTTTTACCTCTTTATTTTCCTGTTGTTTTTTTTTTTTTTTCCTCAGCGCTGGGGACCAAATATTTCACTTTTGTGGTGGTTGAAGGGTCTGGGTCCGGGCTGCTTGTTTTTGTGCGTGAGTTCCAGGTTGTCCTGGCCCTGTTTGTCCAGAAGACCATCTTTGCCACACAGTGGTGGCCTTGCTCCCTGCCAGCCACCCCTGCTGACTGCATTTACATACATAGGTCTCTTCCTGGGCTGGCTTTTGTGCTCCACCTCTCTCTCTGAATTCTTTTATAACGATGATGCCATATGACAGCGATGGCGTTACGTCAAATCCTGATGTCAGTAATGCCATCTTTCCTTCTGCGTTGAGTGGAGTCTTCTGAGGTTTATTGCCCGGTGTGAACTTAAGAGTCAGCTACAAAACAAGTCCCCCAAGTTCTGGCTGGGATTTCTCAGGAGCTATAGAAGTGGATGGAGATGCATGCTGGTGCACACACAGTTATCTTCGAGGACTGGAGATGCAGGCCTTGACTAGTGTGCCGGCTAGCTTTATACGCCAGCTTAACTGCAACCAAGGTCATTTTGGGATAGGGAAAATCAATTGAGAAAATTTCCCCAGGTTGGCCTACAGGTAAGTCTATGGGGCATTTTCTTGAATGATGATTTATGGGAAAGGTCCCAGCTCACTGGGAGGCTGGGGGAGTGGGGGGCTGCTGGCCCAGGGCAGGTGGTCCTGGGTGCTATAAGAAAGCAGGCTGAGCAAGCCATGTGGAACAAGCCAATAAGCAGCCTCCTCCATGGCCTCTGCAGCAGCTCCTGCCTCCAGGTTCCTACATGAATTCCTGCCCTGACGCCCAGGGATGACGAACTGTAACTGCAAGCTGATTGATATATACCCTTTCCTCCTCAAGTAGCTTTTAGTCATGCTGTTTGTCACAGCAGTGGAGACCCTAACTAAGACACCCAGCGTACACAAAGACCTGGATTCAACCCCAGCACAGTGTACATGTGCAATCCCAGCACTCGGGGTGGAGGCAGGAGGACGAGAAGTTCCAGATCATTCTTAGCTGCAGCCAGCCTAGAATATGGGAGCATCTCAAAAAAAAAAAAAAAAATAGATGGGGAAAAATAAAAATGAAAAGCAGGAGAGATGGCACAGTGGTTAAGAACACTGACTGACCCAAGTTCAACTCCCAGCACCCACATGGAGTCTCATAGCTGTAACTCTAGTTCCGGGGCATCTGGAGTCATCTTCTGGCCTCATGGGCACCAGGCATGTACATGGTGCACAGACATGCATGCAGACAGAACACCCACACACATAAAATTATCTGGAAAAATCACTCACACACACACACACACACACACACACACACACACACACACACACACACACACACACTTGCATATAGATTTTACAACTGCACATTCCTCGGACATGACCCTTGTTGTTCTGTAGGCTCCTGATCGTCTCTCTGATGAGCCTCTGGATGCTGTGCTCAGACATATTTCACCAAGTGCCGTTTCTCTCTCAGCACACTGACTTGTTTTTGTCAAAATCACACAGTCCTTTATTTTTAATTGGTAATTCCTGTGTGTATGGGTGTTTCACCTGTGTGCATACCTACATGCCATGTGAGTGGTGACTGCAGATATCCCCAGGGACTATAGTTCAGACACTTGTGAGCCTCTGCGTGGATCCTGTGGGTGTTCCTAGTCAGGAACTATCTCTCTGGAACCCTTCTTTATATATATATTTAACTCTGTGTGTGTGTGTGTGTGTGTGTGTGTACGTACTGTGCCATGGTGTGTATGTGTGTGTCTGTATATCTGTGTGTTGTGAGTGTACTATGCCATGGTGTCTGCAGAGGCCAGAAGGCGGCATTGGATCCCCTGGAGCAGGAGTTAACAGTTGTGTGTGAGCTGCTAGACATAGATGCTGGGAGCCAAACTTGGGTCCTCTGCAAGAGCAGCAATTGTTAACTGCTAAGCCATCTTGTATGGCTTGTTTTGTTTGCTTAATGAAGACTTACTTTATTTGGGGTTTGGTTTTGTTTTTATGTTTCAAGACAAACTTTTCTGTGTAGCCCTGGCTGTCCTAGTAATCACTCTGTAAACCAGGCTGGCCTTGAACTCAGAAATCCACCTGTCTTTTGCCTCCTGAGTTCTGGGATAGAGGCATGTGTCACCACCACCCGGCTATGAATCTTTATGTTAACTGTGTGAGGACTTTTGCTTTTGAGTCTACTACACCCATTCTCTGTATTTTAACTCTGGCCAAAAAAAAAAAAAAAAACTTTTCATTTACTGTGACTATCTCAAGCCTTCTATTTAAATTGTTTTCCCTGCCAGGTGGTGATGGCACACACCTTTACTCCTAGCACTCTGGGAGACAGAGGTTGGTGGATCTCTGAGCTTGAGGCCAGCCTGGTCTACAAAGCCAACTCCAAGATAGCCAGGGCTACACAGAGAAACCCTGTCTTGAAGAAACAAAACAAACACTGTTTTCCCAGCTGTATCTGTATGTTTCTCTATGTGTTCCCTGCTCCAGTGCAGTGAAGTTCCCTCAGTGTGACCTTTTTCATTTGCTCTGTTGTTTCGTCCTTGAGCCCTTACTTTCTTGAATCCATGGTGTTGTATTCTGTAACTCAGAGGGCTGCAGGGAGTGTCCTGTTTCTGCTCGACCTTGTTCCTTCATCACCCCTGCCCTTCCCCTTGTTTTTTGTCTTTCAGTCTCTCCCGCCCCCTCTCCATCCCTTCCTCCCCCTCTTTTTTTTCTTTCTCTCCCTCTTCCTCTCCACCCACTTTCTATTTACCATCTCCCTTCTTTCCTTATTATTTATTTTTGATGTTTTTGGCCTCAGGTTAGAATATGCTAAGCACAGGCTGTCCCGAGCCACACCCCAGCCCCCTACCCTTCCTTTGAAAGGGTTTGTGCTTCCTGTGGAATATGGGTACATTCTCAATTCCATACCCAGTACTCACCACTCAGGTTTTTTTATTTTTAGATTTAGTTCATGGGTATGCGTGTCTTGCCTGCCTGTGTGTACCACAAGAGTTTCCCATGCCTACAGAATTCAGACGAGGGCATTAGATCCCCTGGAACTAGAGTTACAGATGGTTATGAAATGCCATTTGGGTGCTTGGAATTGAACTTGAATCCTTGCAAGATCAGCTAGTGCTCTTTTTAAAATTTTATTTATCATGTATACAGTGTTTTGCCTGCATGTGTCCCTGAAGGCCAGAAGAGGGCATTACATTACAGATCTCATTACAGATGGTTGCGAGCCACCATGTGGTTGGTGGGAACAGATCTCAGGACCTCTGCAAGAGCAGCCAGTGTTGTTAAGTTCTGAGCCACCTCTCCAGCCCCTCTTTACCATGGTTAGAAGAGCCCACTTCCACAGCCCACTCAGGAGTTGCCAACTCTCCATCTTTGCCCTCTGATAACCAGGGCGTGTGGGCGTGTCCAGCTGAACAATTAGAGTCTTCGCCCTTCCTTGACCTTCATTCTTCACAGTCCCCCACACAGGACTGACATTTTCCTAGCTGACTACTGTTTCCTGTTCCCTTCCCCACCCAACTCTCATTTTTTTTTTTAAATCCTTATATTTACCTCCACTAGAGAAAATACTGGGATTGCTCTTAGAGAACTAATCCTTGGGAAACGGGATTGCTCTCAGAGAATGAAACATTGGGAAATGGGTTTGCTCTCAGAGAACAAATCAGAACAGTAGACACAAAGTCAGCTTGAAGAGCAGATCCAGGATGGAGCATACCAGACAGAACCATTAAAAACCATATCTGTCAGAAGAGGGGGCCCCAGTGACACTAGCTGGCTCAACAAAGGGAGAGCCACATAGGCAGGCTCCATCCAAGAGCAGAGAGTCCTGCAGGCCAATAGAATATCCTAGGCTGTCTAGGCTGACTCCTGACAGGAGCCTGCACTGCTGTGACCAAAACTCTACCTGAGGAAAGTAAACTGTGGCTCATACAGAGCCTGGGGTTCTGTGTATCACGGGGTGGAGGAGGGGACAGAGTGGAGCCGCTCACACTACAGTGGCCAGGAAGCAAAAAGGAGGCTAAAGGAAGGAGCTTCGGGAACACAGCCTCCAAGGAAGTACCCTGTGAGCTTCCATCACCTCCCAATAACACCACTGTGTTATGAGTCCATCTGGGGAATCATTTCTCAGCTCAGAGCCCAAGTACCCACCCTTTGTGGCACCATCTCCCGGTGGCCATGTGGAGAGGGTGCTAGAACTGCTTCTGGGAGGAAGGACCCGGAAGGGCCATGGGATCCAAACACAAGTAGGCATTGTCACCCGTAAGTCTGCAACAGGCGGTGTCTGGAGTGGTGCGGCAAGGGCAAGCAAGGATCCAGCTCAATGTAGATGGCTGGGGCAGGAGCAGTGCCACACCGCAGAGTGCAAGGCCCTGTGGGCCATCATTTTCTTCATGCAGTTTACTTTAGATCACTTTTGGAGTAGACATCTCCTGGCCCCCATTTCTGATGCCCTTTCTGACCACGTGTCTGCTTAAATTCTCTTCATTCTTAAACTGTCACCCTCAAGTATTTACAAATCTGTGCTGGCCAGGAACCTAAACTCCACATGTCATGTCCTCACGAGAATGTCTTCTTGAAAATGGAGAGGAGGACACTTGCATTTGCAGAAGGATAAAGGATAGCAGTTAGAGAGCGGCTAACCTGGGCTACTTAATGAAGAGCCCATCTGAGGAGAATGAGAGACCTCTGAACACACACACACACACACACACACACACACACACACACACACACACGGCTCCTTTCTTGTTCATGCGGATATTCCTAGTCTTATTTCAAAGGCTGTCCTGGGACTGGAGAGAAGGCTCAGCAGTGCCTGCTGCTCTTGCAGAGGACCTGGGGTGGGCACTTAATGTTCCTATCACGACTCAGTTCTACCATAAACATCACAGTAGGCAGGACCTACGGAGCCAGGCAGCTGGACACAGCATCTCACCCTCCCTTGCTCTTTCAATGGCACTGGCAGCCTCCTTGTCTTACCAAATCCTGAGGGTGGGGGTCAGGTCTATGAGGCTCCTTCCTGTCCTGCCCTCAGAGTCTACTGTGTTATGAGCTGGGTGCCACATCCACAGCTCTGCAGCTGTTTCTGAGATTGTCCCCTGAGGATCTGTCCACACCTCAGAAGGGACCTGGGAGCTCACAGCCCCTGGCCCGAGCCCCCCCACCCCCACCCCGTTACCAAGAGAAAGGAGGCTGTTGCCAAGGACTCCAGGGGAGTGGACTCAACTCTGGTCCAGACCCAAGGCACCCAGCCCTCCTGGAGACATTGTGTGAGCCAGGCTGGGCCTCCAGACACAGCCCCTGCCGCCCCACCCCAGCCAGGGTGGTGCTTGTGTGGGAAGGACTTTTAAGTCCAGCCGCCAGACCCCTGATCTGGAGAGACGGAGAGGGCTGGCCACCATGCTCAGCTCCTGCAGCCTCTGGGCCACGCTGCCCACACTTCTGCTGCTGCTGACTGTCACTGGCCCCACCTCAGCCCTCACGGAGGATGAGAAGCAAACCATGGTGGAGCTTCACAACTTCTACCGTGCCCAGGTGTCCCCACCAGCCTCAGACATGCTACAGATGGTGAGTGTGGCTGAGTGCCCACCTCCTGGGATGGAAGGCAGGCTGGGCACAGCCTGCCTAGGCCTTTTTCCTCACCTTACTCCTTGTAGGGATGCTCTCGGCAGAGTCCCTGTGCTGTAGAATGCCCGTCCTCATAAGCAGCAGTCATCTAGATAAGGAAACTGAACTCCAGGGACTGGCACTGGGGCTAAAACCCTGGTTCCCCACACCCGTGGTCTCCTCCTCAACTCTTTCCAAGAAGTGAGGACCTAGAGGGTCCCCAAGGAGAGGAAGAAGCAGGATGAACCTGGAAAGCCCTGGGGAAGGAGAGCAGGGGAGGGAGGGGGTCCAGGGCCCACAGGTGCTGTCTCCAGCACTGAGGCTGTGGTTTAGGGCACCTTCTGTAATCATGTGGACTGTTAGCTTCTCATCTATAAAATGAGGTCATAAGCACACCCATATACATAGGCTGAATCTCAAACATCTAATGCTGCAGTCAGTGAAATGTAAAGTATACATATAACACAAATATTGTCTCCATGACGTCAAGAGAAGTGCACAGACAACAGGAGCCAGGGGCAGAGTGCTGGTGGTGGCCAATCTGACAGAAGGAAATGTTATCAGATGACAGGGTTGGGACAGGATGTCTGCTCTGGTTTCAGCGGATAAAGTGACAGTCGCTCCCTTTCTGTCCCAGAAGAGGCCTGACTGATCCAGCCCCCCACCCCACCCCCAGGCCCCTTCTGGTGGCCTGGAACCCCTGAGCTAAGAGCCAAGTAAACCTGGGAAATACAGAAGCAAAGCTGGGGTCCCAGCATTTGGGTGATAGCTTCAGCTTGTCCCCCTGTGGCTTGGTGACTCTTTGGGGAGCCTTTTCCTGATGGACAGTTAGGGATGGCCATCCCGGCCCTGCAGGTCAGACAATATGACTGAGAAACGCTCACAGCACTGCAGCCATTCTCAACCCCATTGTCGTTGGCAACCAGGAACTGCACACAAATCTGAAGCCGGCATACTAGTTATCAGTGCTGAGGTTCAGGGTCGCCATTTCCCTTCTGCACACCCCACACACCAGCTGTCCAGTGTGCACCGTGCTCGGGGTGCCCCCTACCTGGCTAGTACCTTGTCATTTAGCCCCGTCTCTTTCTCCACCCTCAGCCTGGCTACACAGCTCTCCCATGCCCCACAGTACACAGTTGCCTGTGATACTGGCCACGGCACTTAGTCATGTTCTCCAAGTGAACTTGGGCTCCTTGGTCCTTGCTGTTGCTCTAGCCTGGCCCAGTGCCCAGGACTACTGAATGACAGTGTGGATGGACCTGCTTCCAGGGACAGAGAGAGGATCATGGTTCTTGCAATGCCACAGGCTGAGAAGCCTACAGTGGCTTCCGGGAGGGACTTCAGGCATGGACTCAGCCTGCAAGCTAGAGCTGGGGCTGCTCTGAGCTTGTCTCTGTCATCAAGAAGTGACAGCTATCTATGAAGTACCCACAATACCCAGCACTGTAATAGAGGGAGATTATGCTATTGTCAGTCCTAGAAGGAGCCTGTCTATCCTGGAGCCCTGCAGGTCACCATAGACTCCCTGATCCCAGTTTCCACCCCCACTGCCCACTATTGCCAGGGTCCAGGGGACTACCCAAACTTGTAACGTGAAATAAACATGACCAGAGCAGGGATGGCCTGATGTCTATCAGGTAAACGCACTTGCAGGAGCAAACCTGAGGTCCTGAGTTCCCTCCCTAGAGGCTGTGAGAAGAACAGGCTCCCAAAGCTGTCTGTCCTCTGACCTTCATGCAGGCGTTAGGTGCGACCCTGAACTCACACACATACGCACACCTAATCGTGCGTACATAATTAATTTTAAAAAGTGACCAGAGAGAGAATCAGTGAGGCACAGCCGTGGTCCCATCACAGTTCAGGCCCCCAGGAGGGCTCCAGGCAGCTGTTCCTGCACACTGAGTGGGTGGGAAGTGGAGCTGGTCACACAGTCCTACCTCGGTGTCACCCACGCTCTTGATGCTTTCATGGCTCTGAAAGCTGGAGGGGAACCCCCCCCCCATAGGGTGGAAGAGAGCCACAGCAAGCATCCATTTCCAGGAAAGGCCAAGGACAGTTTAATGGGATCCAGACCTTCCTCCTTAGTCCTTGGGGTCAGATGTCCCATTAGTTCCTCCTCCCACACTCCTCCATCTTCTCCCAGCCAGGGACAGAACCTCAGAGGCGCTCTAAGCAAAACTGCTCTTTCCCGGTGTCTCACCTGCGATCTCCACGGAGCGCATTGACCTGGGGTCCCACCGCCTTGGGTTAGGCAAGGCTCTAATGACTGGAAGTGATGAGCCTTCGGTGTGCCATACAGAGACCGTTTCCTCGGGGAGGAGGGACCCCAAGAAGGGAGTTAACCACTGCAGAAGGGCGCCTGCCAGGGAGGGAGGCCCTTGGCAGTGGGGTGGCGCCCTGTCTTGGATGCATGGCCTATACCTACAATACTGCAGCATCTCTCTGGACAGCTTTCTCTCTTCTCCCCGCCACTCCCCTTCTACCCCGCCCCCCAAAACACTCAAAGATCACAACCGGCATCAATCCTCCTCCACGCCCTGTGAGGGGTAAAAGAGGAACCCCAGGGAGGGCCTGGGATGGCACTCTCCCGACCCCACTGAAACCCGCGGGGACAGATGCCTGAGAACAGCAGGGAGTCAGCTTGCTAAGGGGTGGTGGGTGAGGCAAGCCGGTCTCCGGGCCTACTGGGGGTTCCAAGACACCCTCGGCCTACTCTCACCACCCTCACCTGCTCTCCTGCCCCGCTCGCTGCCCTGCAGAGGTGGGACGACGACCTAGCGGCCTTCGCCAAGGCCTATGCGGAGAAGTGCGTGTGGGGTCACAACAAGGAGCGCGGGCGGCGCGGA